ACAGGTTGATCATCTGACAGCGGATCTGGGTCAGAACTTCTGATGGCCTCCCAACAGCGCGCGGGCTCCCTCTCTCTCTCTCTATATATCTTGTTTTTTGCTATTTTCTTTTTTGTCTATTTTTCTCGTTGAACCCCCCATGTACAAATGTGTATCCCCCTCCCCTAATTGTTGTAATAACGTAGGATTTTACATTTCCGCTTCTTATTGCTAGTAATTAGGACGTGTATGACAAGATAAAATCAATGAAATAGAAAAACCTAATTCAAAGAAAAACTCTTGTATGCAATAAAACACACTTGCACACTAACACCCCTAGGGTTACATCCGCTTGTTGCCTTTCAAAATTGGGCCATATTGCATGTTAGGTCTCTTTGGGCAAAACAAACAAATTGAATGATCCCTCGATAAAACCTTTCAAACAAAAAAACAAATGATCAAGTCCCTTAAAAAAAAAATTGCCCGAAGATATTTAACGCCGTTGCAATTATGGTCTAAACGATGACCCGCGCCTGTCCCTTTCACATCCTAACACAAGATTGTCCACCAAATACAATGGTGGAACAAACTTGTTAAAAGGGTTAAAACATAGCAATAATCTTTTGAGAAATTTAGGAGTAGACAACCTCTTAGTTACTTGAATCAAACTTGCAAAACAAAACACTTGCCTAATTTCAAAATCACACATCACTACACTTTCAAAACAACTTTCAAAAACAAATGAAAACTTTTTCAAAAGACATACATCTTTGTATACATCCCCACATGGATCATTACAAAGGTTGCCACCACATTGGCCTCTTTTCAAAACATTTTCAAACCCATACACAAAGCACCATTTAAAACAATTGAAAACAAAAGGCAAGTGATCTAAAGCAAGTAACTAAGAGCCCATGGATAACCATGGATAGAAAGGGTGCTAATACCTTCCCTTTCTATAATCTACTCCCCGAACCCAAGAAAACATCTCAAAAGGTTTTTTGCTGTGCTTTTTAACCTTTCCTTAGGATAAAATAAAAAGTCGGTGGCGACTCTTGCTCAACCGCAACATTTGCGAATACAAACGCAAAACCTCAAGTCAGTTCTCCCACCGTATCACAGACCACAAACTGAGTTGAGATTTTATGTCGATTAATCATGTATCGAGTGAGCTTTTACCAAGTTGAACTCAAGAACCAGGTGAAATTTTAACCAGGATGATCTTAAACCAATAGAGCTTTTGGTTGGGCTGAGCTCAAGAACCATTATGAAGACTTTAATGGCTAATATTTATGAACCTAAATAAAGCTTTTTCTTCAAGGCGAAACTCACGAACCAAGTAGAGACTTCCTAAGACAGTCTCCACAAAATAAGAGTTTTTACTGGCTTAGTTTGAAACCAAATAACTGCCTATAGAATAAATACTTATTCAAGAGATAATATACTCTTGATAAATTATTATTAAGTCATCACTCAAAACAAAGATTCTCACTTAGACTCAATACTCTCGAAGCACTATGGTTAACTATATGTGAGAAAATGAGAGATTTAGTATAAATGATGAGAGAGATTAAAGTGAGAACAAAACTCATTTTCTGGATGTGAAAAGTAGGCATAGAAACATAACTCGTACCCACTAAAACCAGCCCCAAATTTGACGAGGAAAACCCTCTTTAACTGCATTTGGATTAGAGTTTAGGTTTTTTCTGATTACAAAAATACAGATGGATTGAGTAATAAAGACACTAGTACCTACCTCGAAATTGCCTTGTTTATTTTATTATGTAGTTTATTATTTAGTTTTGATAATTTATAATATTAAACATGTTGTCAATATTTTGATATTTTTACTTATATTTATTATTTAAAATATTTGAACGGTATCTATGAAATTCTTTGAGATTGTTTTAGTTTATTATTTGTAATGTAATTTAAATTTGGAGAAAATAAATATTTCTATTAAAAAGTTTATTTCACTAAATGGATGGTGGTGAGACATGGATATCCGAACCCAACCAAAACTCGTTTGAATGAGTTTGAGTTTTAGTTCTCCATCCCCATTGGGGATCAGGGTAGGGAACATGGATTGTTTAGAGATTCAAGTTTGGATTTGAGAGAGTTAAAAACCGTCCACCAATCCGTCCTGTTGCTACGCCTAGTGAAAAGTAATAGAGATGTTTTGTATTTATAGGTTAATGTGTGATATAAATTTGGAAACAATTCATATGCTAAATAAATGTCATAATCGATTAGTGACTTCTAATAATTGATTATTCAAGACACAAATGAGAAATTTTGATATTTATCTATTACCAATCATTAAGAGATTGTTCCAATTGATTTTGTACCCAACTTAGTGAAAATAATTGATTGCATCACCAGATCTAATCAATGATTTAGTTGGAAAAAGTCTTCCAATCAATCAAACACTCCTCTAATTACTTGGCTATAGCCGTTAAAAATATTTTTAGGTGGTTTAAATAAAAAATGAGAGACTTCTCAAGGATTTTTAGTGTGTGTGTTTTTGTCATAGTATTTCCATAAATATCCTTGTTTCTTTACAAAACTCTGGTCACTCGGATAGACACAACTTGATAATCTTTCGCATATCATCTCTTTCACAACTTTAAAGGTTCAAGTCTTAATGTAATTTTCTTTGAGTTTTTCATTTTACAAAGGATTTTAATCTTCTTAATTAGACTTGAGATATCTTCATATTAATTATCATCATCTAAGAGTTTAGAGATTAAACCACCAGTGACCTTTGAAACAGAAATCTTTACTTGAATGTTGTTTGACCATAGTGTTGATTTTCAAAATGATGTTTTGATCTTCAAGATAATCTTTAAGAGGAGAGTTTGATTCAGGAGAATGAATCAACCAACTTGAACATATTTGACCGCTTGAACTATCTTCAACATACACTAACTTCATTTGATATCATTTGATTAAGTATTGTTATCATCAAAACTAAAAAACTATTTATTTGACTTGTAGTTTTTCTATTCATAAGATTCACCACTTTGAATCATATTTACAATAAATACAAGCATATAGATCCATATTATACCGTATATATTTATTGTTGTTCATAATCAATATGTTAATATATTTTCATGATATTATGTACGCAATTTTCCTAACATGATAGTAAGTTTAACATGATGTACGATGTGTTGTGGTGCTTTCTATAATGTGATTATATAATTTCATTGGGATCATCTTAAAAAAGTTACCTCAATCTAATTTTAATTTATTTTACCTTCCTATGAGAGACACTTTTCAAAGACATACTTGTTCTAAGTGTGAGATTTGCTTGGTAGAGCATATTGTTCAATGTTAGTGAGGCACAAAAGGTGAAATATCCTACTACGAATCATTGAGTTTGACTTAACTAATTGGATTCAATATGATTGAAAATATCTTAGAGATAAAGGATTTGGGTACCAATTTATATGATAAATCTTAATAAAGATCTACTCACACAACTGTTGCATATAGATGCAATTGGAAAAGAGTTTCCTACTCAACTGTCTTAGAATGAGGTGAAATATGGATCTGTGTTGCACTAGAAAATCTTTTGATATGATTTTACAAGTTAATATTGAGGGTCATTAATGAGAGAAAAATAGTAAGAACATGTTGTAATCATAATACCTATAGCATAATGGTTGTTTAAATAAAACCATAATGAGTGAGGATTTTTATATCGTCTCCTCAAAACTCAAGCGACAAAACAACTTATAAGTAAATGTTACTATTTTAAGCAGTTTGAGTTTTCAAGGTTGTTTTGAAAATTCTTTTAGACTAAAAATGATACCATTTTTGTCTTTTTTATTTATTTATAATTGAATGTATTTTGATTAAGATCAACAATTTTAGATTAAAGAGATATATATTTATCACATGTTAAACAATCCATTTTAGTATTTAATTAAGATTTATATTTCTATAACTCATGATTAATGCTTTTAAAATTGCTTTATAAAGATGAAATTATTTTCTTTTGCGTAACACATAATCTAAAAAGCTTTAAAAGTTCATCATGCAAGTCATTCAAATCATCATGTAATTCATCATAAGAACATTTATCATTACTAACCTTATTATCATTATCGGAGTAATGTGAAACCATGAAGAATATATGTGTTTGTTCTTCATTTTTTGAACATGTACTCACATCATTGTCTTCCCAAATGATGTTCGATCTTCTTGACTTTTTATCTTTTTTTTTTAATAAATAAAAGATATTATTAATCCAAAAACTGTTTAATTACAAGCTGGTCCAAAGATCCAAGCTACTCAAAGACTATGGAAAACCAAGAAAAGAAAACCAAGATAACCTATAATCTATTACAACACTCCCGAAGCTTGTTAATCCTATTTACACGTATAAGAATAATCTCTTTGATCACTTGAATGTTCAAGTTCCCTTTTGCATCGGGTTGGAAGATCATCTTGTTTCGGACATTCCATATGTGGTATATGGTTTTCGTCACCGCAGTTTTCACCAATTTAGAGACACATATATTCCCTTTAGTCATCCCAATCAGCCAGTTAAGTTCAGTATCCCAGTTTGAAGGCATGTGATTTATGTGTAACCAGCCCAGAATCTGGTTCCACATATCTCTTGTTTCTCTGCAAGCAAAAAATTATGTGCTGGCTACTCTCTTGATCACCGTAGAAAATGCAAATTTTGTCTGTCGCAGTTCCAAATCTTTGGACTCTATCTTTGATAGGAAGCCTTTGGTGGCAATTCATCCAAAGCATAAACACATCTCTAGGACAAGCTAGATTCCCCAAGACCAAGTTCCTCCAAGAAACTTTGGGTCTATCACCTCTAATCATCCTGTACATATCTCGAGTGACATATTTACCAGCCACCTGAAACTGATTCCAAACTGCAGAATTTATAAGTTCATTTATGTGTTTGAAAATAGCTTTTAAAATCTAAGAGCAATTATCCTTTGGCTTGTAAGTTGTGATATCCTCTCTTTTCATATAGAATTTATGGATCCAATTTATCCAAAGCCTATCTTTTTCTCATTGATGTTCCATAGCAATTTCCCCATAGTAGCTTTGTTCCACTCCTTGAGAGATATGAGATTCATCCCTCCAGCATTCACGGGGTTGCAAGTGGTCTCCCAAGAAATAGGGATCCTTCTGCTATAATTCTCTTGCCTAGACCAAAGGAAATTTCTACAAAGGCTTTCCACGTGATTAAGCACTCTCTTAGGAAAAGGGAAAATATGAAGCCAATAATTTGCAATGGAGAAAAGGATACTTTGCACAAGTTGTAGTCTTCCTGCATAAGATAGCAACTTAGCAGTCCAGTGCTGAATTCTGGCCAACATCTTTTTCAATTAAAGGTTGGCAGTTATTCACAGTGATTTTCTTGTTATTCAGGGGAACTGCTATTTATTTAAAAGGAAGTTTACCCACCTCAAATCCAGTTTCCTGTTGAATAAGCTCTTGAGTAGCTGCACCCACACCACCAAAGTACACTTTTATTTTAGAAAAACTTATCTTAAGGCTCGTAGCATTACTGAACTCTCTAACTTTCTTCATAATAAGCTTCATAGACTCAATATAATCTCTGAGAAACAACACAATATCATCAGCAAAACTAATGTTCACAATTTTTTACTTCTCACATTTAGGGTGAAAATTAAAATTATGATCCTCTTGCAAACCCTGGACCACTCTATGGAAATATTCCATTACAATGACAAAAAGGAGGGGAGAGATTTGATCTCCTTGTCTCAAGCCCCTTTTAGCTTTTAGGAGACCACTGGGATTACCATTAATAGAAAATTTATACGAGACAGTTGTGACACAAGCTTTTATCCAAGTAATGAATTTCTGAGGGATACCCAGATCAGCCATAATTCACATAAGATGGGCCCATTCAGCAGTATCATAAGCTTTTTGCATGTACATCTGGACCATACATATGGGAGAAATTTGCTTTCTGCTATATCCTCTAATCTACTCTTGGGCCATCATAATGTTGTCTTGTATAATTCTTCCTGGGATGAAGGCTGGATGATTCTCATTAATGATGGAGCTGATAACCTTTCCTAGTCTCTTAGTCAGGACCTTTGATATAACTTTATAAAAGGTGCTACAACATGAGATAGGTCTCATGTCTTTAACAGTCCTGGCTTTAGCATGCTTCGGGATCAGAGTCACTAAAGAATAATTAAGAGCTTTATGTATCATTCTTGTGCGAAAGAACTCCTTCACAGAAGCCACCATATCATGTTTGATCACCTGACAGGCATTCTTGAAAAAGAAGGCATTAAAGCCATCAACTCTTGGGGCCTTATTATTTCCTATGTTCTCAAGGGCATTCCAAATTTCTCTATCTTCCACAGGCTTTATGAGAGTAAGTGCATCCTCTCCTGAAAGAGTTTTACCCTTTCTAATGCAATGACTATCAATCCCAATCAGCTTATTTGTAGTTGTGCCAACCAACTCTTTATAGAACTCCAAGATCTCCTGCTCAATGGCTTCATGGTTACTAAGAAGCTCCCCTTGTAAGGAAAACAGAGTATGCAGACCAATATGCTTATTTCTCTCTTTGATAGAGGCATGAAAATATGAGTTATTTCCATCTCCCAAATTCAGCCAATCTAATTTAGCTTTCTGCTTCAACATGTCTTCCTCCAGCTGGCTAATATTCATTATTGTATCAGTACAAGTTTTCACCTGGTTTAAAGCCCCTGTATCAAACATGTTATTATTAAGATTCTCCTGAGCCTCCTTCAGATTCTGTCTGGCTCCCTAAAGTTGGATATGGATATCTGAGAATTTTATGTGCAGAAGTTTCAGATGTGACTATCGTCTAATGAGTTTCAGCCAAAGCCTATGCATAGAATTTCCCTTCACAACTTGATTCCAGCTGGTTATGAGAGTTCCCGTGTAAACCTCATCTTTTATTACACAATTTAGGAATTTGAATATATGTTTCATGTATGTCTGTTGATTATTCCCATAAGTGACTCTCAAAGGGGCATGGTCTGAGATGTTTGAGGGCATTATCTCCACAATTGAATCATGATACTTTTGGAACCAAGCCACATTTCCCACCAGTCTATCAATTCTAGAGTAAATAGTTCTTGTACTATGCTTGTTTGACCAGGTATAATGGAAACCAATTGCAAAGGCTTCAAACAGACCAGATCTCTGCAACATGATATACAGATCCCTATACTCAGCTTCATTAACCTGATTACCACCAATCTTGTCCTGGCTGGTTAGCACATTATTATAGTCCCCCATTACTATCCAAGGGTGAACCATATTATCTCCTATGCTTTCAATCTTCTCCCGTAACACTCTCCTTTTCTCAATTTTATTCGAGGCAAAGACAATGGTAACTGCACAAGTGTATCTTCTTATCAAGGCCATAGACCTCAGCATGAATAAATTGTTCCTCAATCTGAATAACCTTAATATCAACCTCAATATAATTCCACATCAGCCAGATATGCCCATTTACATGGTGAAAATATTTGTCTTTGTACTTCCATTTACTGCCAAATTTCTTTCTTAATCTACTAGCATTAGCTTCCTTAACTCTAGTTTCAAGTAATGCAAGGACAAAATCATTAAAATTTGAGAAGTAGGAGCAAACCTCTCTATGCATCAACTCTTTATTTATGCCCCTCACGTTCCATGTGAAAATCATTTCTTATTGCTGGTCCCCTCCCTAGGATTATCTCCAATCCCAAGTGGGGTGAAAACATTCTGAACTAATGTCGCATTAGTGGGGGTGAATATGATCTTCTTATTAGATTTATCTCCCCTGTTCGATGTAACAATATTCCAAAACTCATCATGTGTGCTCATCAAAGGTTGTTCTTTGTCATCATTCTGAGCCGGAATTCCTTGTATGACTTCCATGTCCTTTTTATCATGTGGTTTCACTTCAATGTTCTTGCTAATTTGCTGCCATATTTATGGTGGATTCTTTCTTTGCGCCAAAGGTTTGTTAGCACAATCATGTCCTATTTTGATACAAGTTTGGAAATAATGAGGCTTTCATTCGTATTCAATTATCTGCTCCCTTTCCCTTCCTCTATGATCTGTCACCCATATCTTGTCCTATAATTTCTGTGTTATGTCAACTTCAACCAACACTCTAGCATAAGATATGCACAATTTCTTTGCAGTACACTCATCTGTAGTGATAGGCTTGCCAATGGTGCTAGCTATATTTGAGATACTCTTCTTCCCCCATAGGTGCATAGGAAGATTGGGCAATGTAATCCACAAAGGTAGAACCCTTAGAATATCTTCTTTGATTTCAAAATCGGGTGACCAATACTTTAGAAATAGTGGCTTACCATAGATGAAGTATGGTCCCTGCTCCATAACCTTTTCTTGATCTTCATTATTCTTGAATCTTGCTATGAAATAACTTGTATCATTATAATACAGGTCAGGCATCGCCACGAAATTCCATGCTTTCTCCAAGAGCGAACTAAATTACAACATTCTCCCAAAATTCAAGTTCCTCGGCAACGTCACTCTCATTGATTACAATTTTGATCTCGCCATTAATGATTGTAGGAGCAATGAACTCCACAATCATACCACAGTTAAGGTTACAGTTACCTTGAATCACCTTCACCCAAGGTTTCTCTGCCTCCTCCTTCTTCATCACCGATGATTGAATCTGTACCTTCAGTTCTAGTTTCTCATTCTCCTCCCGATGGATTTCATCGTGCTTCTCCTCAGCTGGATTTTCATCCTCCTCAATAGTTGTAATTATCACTGTCTCGTCCGTCATTCCTTGACTCTCCGCCGTCGAGTTTGACCGGCCGGCGTGCCGTTTTGCTTTGGCCATCCCAAACCCTAGCAGAGCAAAATTTGGAAAGTTTTTACTCTTTTGACTTTTTATCTTTTTTGTTGTTGAATTTGTTCTTCTTTTAAAGTGTAGGGAAATCACTTTTGACATGTCCCAATTCTTCACATTCAAAACAAGTAATTTTATTTTATGAAGTTGAAGCTTCATTTAACTTCTTTTCTCTAAGTGTCGTTGTATTTTCTCTTTTCAAGAATTTTTCAAATTTTTTGAGTAGTGCATCATCTTCGTTACTATTGGATTGAGATTCTTCTTCTTGATCACTATCATAATCTTAGAATTTTTTTTTAAGGCAAGAGATCTCACTTTATGTTCACGCCCTTCATGCTTTTCCAATCGTTTAAGTTCCAAATTATGTTATTGCAACTTTTTGAACAATGCCAACAATGTCATCTTAGAAAGACTTTTCTTTTCAGATATTATCATTACTTTTGGTTGTCATGCTCTAGTCAATGGTTTTAGTACTTTTAGATTTATCTCATAATTGGATAAAGTTTTCCAAGAACATTCAAGTTATTTTTCAAATGAGTGAACCTCTTTTGTAAATCAAGTATCTTTTCTTCTGATTGCATTCTAAACAACTCATATTCGAAAGAGAGAGAGAGAGAGAGAGAGAGAGAGAGAGAGAGAGAGAGAGAGAGAGAGAGAGAAAATTTAGTTTATATATTTTATATGTACCTTCATGTGTGACTTGCAAGATATCCCGAATTTCTTTAGTAGTTTGGTAATTCGATACCCTAAAGAACTCATTCATTCCCAATGATGATGCTAATATGTTTTTGGTGTTCTTATCATGAAGAAATTTTCTTGTTATCATCATCATTCCATGTATCTTCGGGTTTTGGTTGACTTATACCATTTACATAGGTTGTTGGAATGTAGGGACCATTTTTAACGAATTTCCATACTTCTACCCCATGTGATTCAAGAAACATTTGTATCCTAATTTTCCAAAATTCATAGTGTTCACCAACAAAATATGGTGGTCTATTGATGCTACCACCTTTCCCTAAGAACACTTTTGCGGAGACATTTTTACCTAGATCTCGAAGTAAGTTACCTAACTCTTGATCTGATACCAATTGTAACTATGAGATGTAATCTAAACGCGAGAGGGGTGAACTAAGGTTGCATGTTCTAGTTTTTACGCAATAGTTTTTAATGTGTTAAGTTTCTGGAAGTTATGAATATGTTATGTTTCTAGGATAGTAAACTTCATAAAATTAAAGTGCAGAAAAATAAAGGATACAAGGAAATTATATTAGTTCCCCTTATAACTAAGGGTACATCTAGTCCCTTTCTCACCTAAGGATTTTCAACTATGCTTAGATTCTTGTACAAGTCTCACACCAAGACTTCTTTACAACCTTCTATAACATACACAAACACCAAACCTATGGAGGACTTTGAATCAACCTGATTCAAAGAACATTTTTCACAAATAACAAACCCTATGGTGGACTTTGTGTCATACCTCAAATTTTCCCCATTATGATAATCATATTATCACCGGGCTTCTAACTTATAATCACATAATTTAAATTTGCCTATATCCTTATAATAAAATGGGTTTGTGGGCTTTCTAAATCAGAAAGGCCCATTCAAAAACTTCTTAGTCCATTCAAAAATGGAGGCCCATTTTCTTTTCTTTTTAGAGGCATACACTTTTCCATAGATCCATTTGAAATGACAAGGAATGTGTATTTGGGCCTGCGTTCAAATTAATTAGAACGACCCAGTTTAGAGTTTTTTGTAGCTCGTTTTAAAAATCTTAATTAAGTTAACATTTGTATTTATTATTATTATTATTATTATTATTTCATTTTACCAGTATTATACAATTATTACTTATTGTTATTATTTGGTAAATCGTTATTATATATTTACTATTAATATTTTTAATTATTATTATCATTATTTGTTGTTTGACTAAGTCAAATTGAGAATGAAACCCTAATACAGGGCTACGCTCAAATTGGATTCCTTAATCCCTCTACACTAAGTAACCCAAGCCCAATAGACAGTTACTGTATAGATAAAAGAAAATCAAAAACAAATCTTTCTAAAAACATATTTGAATCAAATCTTGCGGAAGGACTTAACTGAATTTACAAATACAATTATCCAGATACATTATAAAAATTACAAACCCTAATATTATAAAAATACAAAATCAATTACAATCGAGATTCAATCACATCCTAAGCTAATTTCTAACAAAATCTAATTTGTAACTGCAAATTATTATAATTTCCTAATTCATCTAATCTATAAAGCTATAAATAAACTTAATAATTCTAAAGAAAGGAGGAGAAAAATATAACAAAAAATTTGAGAAAAAGAACAATCAGTGCATCAATCTTCTTGCTTGATATCTGGGTTTCAACTTCTCAAACCCTAGATCTGTGTTCCGCCACCGTCACCTTCAAGCCATCATCATTGCACCTGTCAAACAGAAAGGAGATTAGAAGGGGAATCGAAAAAACATAAAGGGATTAAATATGACCAGAATCACTGCATATAGGTAAGCTTAATACTTATCTTTTAGGGTTTTGATTGCATTAAGATTGATGTTTAACTGTATGATTATGGTTCAATTTGGGGTTTTTAGGGTCAAATTAGGGTTAGGTTAGGGTTAGGGTTATGGTTCATCAGACAAGGGTTAGGGTTTTTCATCTAGGGTTAGGGTTCTTCGTTGGAAGGTTAGGGTTCTTAAAAGTTTTTGTTTCTGGGTTGATATAAGGGTTAGGGTTCATATAAGAACCTTAGGGTTCTTAGGGTTTGGTTTAAGGTTTGAAGGTTTTGGTTGAGCTTTAATCGGAAACCTGGGTTTTACGGCAGCTTTGGGTTAATTTGCGGCGGTCGGTACGACCAAGGCGATTTTCGATGGGTAACGAGTCTAGAGAGAAGCCAAAGCTTCTCTCTATAAGGTTATTGTTGAGTGAGAGAATGGGATTGAGAGAGAGAGAAAGAGAGAAGTGAAAAATGGGAAATTTGTGTTGGAATTGAATATATAACCCTTCCATTCCTCTGTACGATCCCTCTTAGCATACTCCCAAGTCAACCTTTATTCTCAATCCCACGATGACACCACTTTTGGTCAAAGGCCCAAGGTTCACGCGTGCATGGCCATGTGATCTGAATCAAACGATCCATAAATGCTCAGCGCATCATAAGCCTCTAAGCCTCCCCACAGATTGTCAACGGACCGGAAACAACATTTGGGCCAAGCCCAACTGTTAAACGTGCCTCCCTCCATTTTCTTTTGCCTTCCAATGCTAAACTATACCCCCACCTGTGCTACTGGGCCCAGTTCAATATCTGAACTTGGGCCCTTGTTGAATACACCCCCTATTTTTGCTACTGTGTACAAGCAACACTTCCCCTACGTTTTTGGGTCTGAATTCAATATCTGAATTCAGGCCCCTACTTTTTACACCCCCTGTTTCACTTAACCCAAAGAAAATACACCCCTTCATTTTTTATTAAAATTATTTTTTTATTATTTATATTATTATAATTTTATATTTACTATATTTATAAATTCTGAAATTATTTTATTATTATAAAATTCAAATATTTATTTTTTCTACTAATTCATTCTTTAATAATTTTTTTATAAAAGGTTGCATTAAAATTATTTTTTGCCATGCATTAAAAAGATTTTTATATATTAATATATTTAAAAAATACCTAACCAACATCAAATCTTTTTTTTTACAATTTAATTAAATCCAAGAAAATTTTCAAAAAGGATTATGGAGATACTTTAAATCGACTGCGAACTTCCTCTAACAATTCTGTTATTCACATGCCCAGGCTTGGTTCAAGGGGAATTCAAAATATCTTTGTAATCCATAAAAAACACCAACCAACTGCAAATTACGAATTGAGACTCTGATTTCCTCATAAGAGGATACATAGACATACGACTAAAATCGTGGCAAGTTCCCCTAATAAAAATTAAAACCCTATTCCCTAAGACGTAATTCTAAACCCTAGTATCCTTGTGAACAAGGTAGATGAGGGAGGGGTGCCTAACACCTTCCCTTCATCTAAGAATGAGTCAAGCAACTTAGAATCTCTAATCAAATTAGGGTTATCCTTTATATTCCCTTCCTAAAAATAAAAATTAAGGGTGACGACTCTCAATTTAAAACCAGTTACAAAACTTTGAATCAACCCAATTTGAAGAACCTTTTTACAAAAACCAAACGTTATGGAAGATTTAGAATCAACCCAATTCAAAGGACCTCTTATAAAAACTTATCATCACAAACTAGATGATTAAGTCATAATACACTTTAAATGATTTGAGATACAATTGCTCTTGAAATGATTTCCAAGATGGATAACATGTTCTTCTCTTTCTCTTGATCACACCTCAAACTTATATATGTAAGTGTTCAAAAATGTTTAATGAAACCTTTTAGATATATGAAATTATGCATAAGGTTACATAACTTAAAATGGTATGAACAAATTAAAAAAAGTTTGAATTGGTGTAAAATGATTAATGAAACTGGTGTCTTGATATTTTTATGTGTAGACCTTTATATACATCCTTAGGAACCTTTATGAATGTACGAACATGTTTGAAATGGTTCCATGAGGCTTTGACATGATTTAGAAAGATGTTGGTTTATGAAAAGTCATATTTTTACAATGTGTAACCAATTACCAACAGAGTGTAACTGGTTACCACTCTTCCAACATTTAAAAATTTGAAACAGAATCAACATGTAAACAATTACTTAAATCAAGAAACCAATTACCTGATTTAAAAAGTGAAGAAATCAACTTTTGATAGCTTAGTTTCAAAGATTTTCATGCATGATGTTCATAGGTTTTATAGATGAAAATTGATATGATTTTCTTAAGCATCTTAACAGATATATTATGAGTTAGAATGCATACTTTAATCATGATTAATTATCTAAAATATTTCCTTTATTTTTAAAGCTTATGATCACTTGAACTTT